TCTACACTTAACTCCCATCATTTCCAAGGACTCCATCTCAGCCAACGCACCACCTTCCCAAACCGTGCAAAGCTACGCACAAGGGGGGGGTCCAGGTATGACCCTGCAAAGCGGCCCCAGTGACAGCGCCGTGTATTCCCAGTTAAAACCAGTCAACATGTCTGGTGACGGCGGAGAGGACGGAGCTGTTTTTGAGGATATCAAACCCGCGATAAGGATGCTGACGACTCAGCCGGAGCTCGGCGAGGTGAGAAAGAGAACGAGCTGCACAATTGTCAGTCCGCGGTCTATTGTTCTACGTCTTTATTTCTGCGCTGGATCTGGCAAGCTCTGGATCCTCTGTGTCCGTCATATATGTATTGTGTTATAACGTGTACGTGGCCCCCGTGCAGCAGCCGCGGCGGCGGCGAGGAGATGATATAAAACCGTTTTGGTCTTTTATTATTTGAGTGTTTCTGCTTTTTATTGTCTTACTTTATAGACTTTTTGCTGGTTTACGATGTTCCGCGTTGCGTTGGATTCGAAGTTTCGTCACTTTTATTTCCCTTTATATAACTTTATCGATTGTTGTTGTATCCGGGAGATGTTGTGTTCTCCTCTGCGTGTTGTGGAGACGGATCGGCGGGATTGTTGGGATGTGTATGTGATAGCCTGTGCAGGTGTCGTAAGAAGATACGGAATGGTCAGAGACTGCACATACTGCAGGAAATGGTCAGAGACTGCACATACTGGAGGAGATGGTCAGAGACTGAACATACTGCAGGAGATGGTCAGAGACTGCACATACTGCAGGAGATGGTCAGAGACTGCACATACTGCAGGAGATGGTCAGAGACTGCACATACTGCAGGAGATGGTCAGAGACTGCACATACTGCAGGAGATGGTCAGAGACTGCACATACTGCAGGAGATGGTCAGAGACTGCACATACTGCAGGAGATGGTCAGAGACTGAACATACTGGAGGAGATGGTCAGAGACTGAACATACTGCAGGAGATGGTCAGAGACTGCACATACTGCAGGAGATGGTCAGAGACTGCACATACTGCAGGAGATGGTCAGAGACTGCACATACTGCAGGAGATGGTCAGAGACTGCACATACTGCAGTAGATGGTCAGAGACTGCACATACTGCAGGAGATGGTCAGAGACTGCTTGCGACGCCATATATTGTATGTTTGTTCTCTAACATGTTCTGTGTGTGAGAATTGGTTGTTTTATGATATATACCGCATGGGCCGCCTCACCGGGCCGAGACATCCACTTCCTGTATAGACCCTGCTTGTTGTTAAACGAGTGGTGATCAACTTTCTTGATGCACGGGCTCTGACATCACCACATAATGTTCAGTGAATGCAATGCTACATAAAACTGTCAGAGACTGCAGAGATAGAACAGGAGATGGTCAGAGACTGCATACATGTTTCAGGAGATGGTCAGAGACTGCAGACTTGCAACAGGTATTGGGCAGAGACTTCTGTCACATTACAGGAGATGGTCAGAGACTGCAGACATGTTCCAGGAAATGGTCAGAGACTGCACAGGAGTGTTTATTAAAAAAAAAAGAGACTGCACATACTACAGGAGATGGTCAGAGACTGCATACATGTTTCAGGAGATGGTCAGAGACTGTAGACATGGTACAAGAGATGATCAGAGACTGCAGACATGTTATAGGAGATGGTCAGAGACTGCAGACTTGCAACAGGTGTTGGGCAGAGACTTCTGTCACATTACAGGAGATGGTCAGGGACTGCAGACATGTTCCAGGAAATGGTCAGAGACTGCACAGGAGTGTTTATAAAAAAAAAAGAGAGACTGCACATATTACAGGAGATGGTCAGAGACTGCAGAGATGATACAGGAGATGGTCAGAGACTGCAGACTTGCAACAGGTATTGGACAGAGACTGCTGTCACATTACAGGAGATGGTCAGAGACTGTAGACATGTTCCAGGAAATGGTCAAGGACTGCACATGCGACAGCACATGGTCAGAGACTGCACACATGTTCCAGGAGATGGTCAGAGACTGCAGACTTGCAACAGGTGTTGGGCAGAGACTTCTGTCACACTACAGGAGATGGTCAGAGACTGCAGACATACTACAACACATGGCCAGAGATTGCCGACATATACAGGAGATGGTCAGAGACTGCAGACATACTACAACACATGGCCAGAGATTGCCGACATATACAGGAGATGGTCAGAGACTGCAGACATACTACAACACATGGTCAGAGACTGCCGACACACTGCAGGAGATTTAGGAAGCATGCTAGCTGCTCAATAATATTTTGCCTTCACTGCAAACACCTCAGTAAGAAAAACGTAGACTTCTCCCTCCAGGGGCCCCAAACGCCACATGCGGCCCCTGGACCGCAGGTTGGCCACCAGGGCATTAGGCCAATCCAATGGCTCCACAAGTTGGAAGTATTTGTGGATCTGTTTTGCGGTCGTCGTGTCGGTGGTGATGACATAAACACGCAGGCACATGTCGGCTCTCGGTGTCTCCTCTAGGGGCCCGGGGGAAGTATCTCAATGTACAGATTC